ACCRTTGAGGAAGATGGCTTTTCCAACAGAATTTAGGATTCTTATTCATGTAACACAGAGCTGCCACTCGGCCTGAGCAAGAAAATATGAGAMCAGGACTCTTGCATTGTGGTCACAGACTTGCTTTTTGGAAACAGCATCAGGCACCTCTCAAACATGGGCACTCTCCTTCCTACCTGAAAAACTTAAGCATTACCCTCTGTCCTCACAACTGTTCAGTAAAAAAATCTGTTGGAAGATTTAGACATGTTGCTTGGATCTGAGTTGAGGCTTTGAAGTGTGTGACCTGTACACACTGGGATGACCTTTTATTCTCAACTTCATGCTATTTCCCCTCATACACTGAATGTTGTTGTATGAACAACATGTATGAATGTTGTTCTTGAATTGAAGAGACAATCTGGATTTTGTGATTCTTCTCCATCCCCTAAAAAGCTTTTGATATTTGGTCATGATTTGATGGGATTTTGAAGGAATTTGAGGGAATAGTGCATGAATAGTGAGTCAAATAGCAGGGGGCCTGCATTGCACTCTGCTTGCCTTGTGGTCTGTCAGGGTATTCATAAAGAGGTCTGTGCTCGTGGGGTGCAATGTGCAGAGCTGTTGGGAACATGAAAAGAGTTTGTATAAGGAATAAAAGGGGTTTTCTTGGAGGTTATGGARAAAGGCCCTGTGATGTAGAAWGGTCTGGATTAAGTAATTGTTCTGRCTGTGGAGCACTAGGAAACTTTTTCTTGGGAGGCAGGTAGGCCTAGGGGAGGGTTTTCTGCTGGTATGGCTACTCAGGTGAAATCTCTTCTGTTCYTTACAGTAATTTTAGAGAAATAAGTATGTTGCTTTTCCCCCCACCCCAGTGTCTGTCCCTTCTTTATCCTGATTAAACTCTTACTTCTCAATCCTGACATGACAGCTGGCTGCAAAGCAAATTTTTGCATGACAGCACGGTGTTGCGTAGTTCTTGAAAATTGTTTTCCTGAAGCAGTTTAAATTCATGGAGGTTCTTCAGTCCCTTCTACATGTGTGGCATTGGTTTTGGCATGTGTTCCAGCCTGGACATCTCAGCACCTCTGCATCTGTCTTCTGGGTTGGTTTGACACTTGCCTGAATATAGTAGTGTCCTTTTTGTTCTGTTTCAGATGTGGTTTCCAATAAATGGCTCKGCAGCTTCAGGATTGAGAGCCAGAGCAGTGTAGTGTCTTAAAACAAAATTGTTGCCTCTTAGTCAGCCATGACTCTGGGGAGAAGGCATGTCAACAAATACCAGTGTGCTGGAGAAACAGGAGAAGGGCTCTAATAGCCCAGAGGTTCTACTTGAAGCTCCCCATTGAGATTCTTAAATACACAGGCAGAGCTCATGAATAAACCTGTGAGACTGAAGTGCAAGTTGATGAAGCAGCTCAGGGGCAGAACTCTGCAGCATCACTGGTTTCACRGTCCTTGTTCATTTACCACTGACAACATCAACAAGGAGATTTTGCCAGTTCAGGGACTCTCAGGCACTGTTCCCTGAAGCCCTTCCCTGTATAGCCCAACCTGGGTGATGCTGACTTGCACGTTATTGCAGAGAAAGATGGAGGTGATGGTGGGTAGCTGGGTCAGCAACCTCAGGTCTGCTGTGGTTGAAGGACCTGCTGTGCTCACTGTGGCCCATTCCAGTGCTCCAATGAAGGTGYCACAAGCTCTGTGCCACAGAGCTCATTGATCCAGGAAGAATTTCCCATCTTAAATTCTGCCCTAGCTGATCCATCATCCATTCCACCTGCAGAGCTGCCTCCATCTCTAGGGACCCCAACACGAGAAAGACGTGGACCTATTGGAGTGAATCCAGATAAGGCCACAGAGATGCTTGGGGGGCTGGGGTTCCTCTGTTCTGGGGCCAGGTTGGGAGTGTTCACCTGGAGAAGAGAAGCTGCTGGAGAGACCTCAGAGCCCCTTGCAGGGCCTAAAGAGGCTCCAGGAGAGCTGGAGAGGGACTGGGGACAAGGGATGGAGGGACAGGACACATGGAATGGCTTCCCAGTGCCAGAGGGCAGGGATGAATGAGATATTGGAAAGGAATTGTTCCCTGGGAGGGTGGGCAGGCCCTGGCACAGGGTGCCCAGAGCAGCTGTGGCTGCCCCTGGATCCCTGACAGTGTCCAAGGCCAGGACACTTGGACAGAGCTTGGAGCATCCTGGTGTCATGCAAGGTGTCCCTGTCTGCAGCAGGGAGTGGAGTGAAATGGTCTCTAAGGTCCCTTCCAACCCAACCATTTTGGGATTCTGTGAGCGTCTGTTTAGGTGTCTGCATTCAAGTTTGTGACCCCAATAGTAGTYTGGGACTGTGCTATGGGAAACCTGAGGCTGAGCCAGTGGAACGAACTGGTCTGGCTGTGGGAGTGTGGGGTGTGTAGAGAGTCAYGTGGAGCCCCAGGGGTCACTGGGGCTTTTGATCCCAGAAGTCTGGGGCAGTGCCAGTAGGACCCCCAGAGTGGCATCAGACCAATGGGGTGGAGGAGTTTCCCTACGCTCCMCCAGCAGAGGAAGTGGTTTCCTACTAACTTCCAGGCTGTCTAGACAATATTAGCCCTGCAGCAGATTGTGTAAGTGCTCAGTGAGAGATTAGGAAGAAAGAAGTATCTCTAACAGCTCTCTGCTCCTTTAGCTCTTCACTGTGCCTCTGTTACTCCTGCRTGCTTCGTTCTTGGTATCCCATGGAAATTTTTGCCAGGCCTGTATGCAAGGGCTTCCTATGGTTATTTTCTGAAAGKGAAGAAAAGCAGGTAGAAGCTTCCATCCCACTTTGTAATGGCTCTGAATCAGCACTGTCCCAGGCCCTCCTTGAGTATCCTGGGAGGTGCAGAAGGTGCATATTGCAGACAGTAAGGTTAGATGATGTGGGACAATGATGGAAAAACAATGGCCGCTTGCCAAACTCCTGTCAATTCTGCTTTAAGCCAAATAGAAGTGTGGTAACTTCTCATCATGGTGTACTGGGAAGGTTTCTGTGGTTGGTATCTGACTGTGGTGCCTCCTTTTTAGGCAGCAGAGACACTTGGAGCATTAAAATAATCCCAAAACCCTAATCTCTTAAATCTGTTCTTGAAATCATTACAGTATATAGTAAATTTTTAATCTTGGCAGCAGGAAGGRCTTTAATAATAAATAAATGGCAATATAGGGCAAATTTGGTTTAAGTGAAGGAAATGTGAGCTTTTGCCTCCTAAAGTGGAAAAATCTCAATGTTTCTTCCTTGGCTTACTAAATATTCTAGCCGTACTATACAAATTGCAGACTCATCAACATATTGGTGTGTTCTGCTTGTAGGGCTTGATTATAAAGGGCAAAGGCAAGCAAAGTTGCCTTYTGTTCAAATAATTTTGAAAATGTATGCTATGTAGTTTTATAATTTAGATACGGTGACCAGAATCAGTTCAACTGTTTTGAGTGTGGTTCTCTGTGGTTGTGCTCAGTCTGTTCTGAAAGAGCTAGGAGGGAACGTGTATATAATGACAGAATTTACAGTACAACTGAGATGACCTGGCAGCTTAAAARTTGTCTGCTAAGGGGAGTCTCTTCMCCCGATTCCAGCTTTGCAGTGCCTCCCCCTGCTCTCCTATCCTGTGGCATTAACTGGTGCTTATCTTGTTGCAAGGAAAGCAGTTTAAAACTGCTGACACAACAGAAAGGGCTTCCCTCCTGTGTAGTTTTCCATTGCTTTCACAGTACAGGTGGTTGTCCCACAGGCAGAGGGTGCTGGGACAGCCTTGTGTTGACACTTGAAACACAGAAATGGGGGTAGAAACTGATCTGTGGGCGAAGGGAGCAAGAGCTGCCAGTTCTTAATGCTTCAGCACATAATGGAAAGATATAGGCTCAGTTCAAATCCATAGTATGTTAAATCTCAAATTAGCATAAGTGGCTATAATGATGGCTATTCTATATTCTCATGCCTTATTCTACAAAAATGTGCTCAGGTACTGTTGGTTTGAAAATCTGACCTTCACTGGCAGACTTGAATTAACAGCAGCTGCTGGTGAAGGGCCTGGAAGGCCTTTCATACAGTGAGTGTTCCTTTTCTAGATTGAGGATTTCTGGTTGCTGTTTCTGACTTCTTCCATTATTCAGCTTCTGGCTGTCAGTAGTGGTGCAGTCCCTGGAAGGGCTCATCTTTTAACAGATCCAGTTCTCTGTTGCAGGAACAGGATTTAGATACCCTGATTTTGACTGTTTTGAAGTAGATGAAGTGCTTTAAAAACTTTGATTTTAAYAAGCCATGAACAGCTTGAGTCTGGTGTGAGTTTTAATTGTAGGTCAACTAAAACATGAGGATTCGGTCCCTGATGGTAGACTTAAGCAGAGAGTATCTTCCTGTKATGGGAATTCTGGATGTTTTCTCAAGGCTTTCTTTAAAAAGGTGCAAAAATAGAAACTCTGTCAAATACTCAATATGCCCCCAAGTCAGTGTGCAGCACAGATTCACCATTTCATACACACAGCGCCAAAGGCAGCATTGAACAGTAGCAGGCCATGAGGTACAGGATGGGTGACATTTACAGGGGAAGACATTTAGAAAATAAATAGGCCCCAGCTGAAACACTGAACTGGGTCATATCTGTCTGCTTCCCCTCTCTGTGTCTAAAAGAGTTCTGGGCATAAGGTTGGAATTCGGGTTGAAGTGGCAGTTTGGTTCTGGCTGATCAAGTGCTGGACGTGGGGAACCTGATTTTTGTCTTGGCTGTTGGGAATACTTCTGTGTAATATCTTCAAAATCTGCTGTGGTGCTTTTTATTAATGCAAAAAAAATGGAAATCCTGAGGAGCTCTTTAATGGCACATAGTTCTGTAAAATGTTGTGTTTGTGCTTTTGAAAGACTGAATTGTTCTGGAATTTTCAACAAATAATGTTTTGTTTTGKGAGCTGAAAAAATGTGTTACTGAAGCATTGGCTTGTTCTCAGTTTTTTAAAATAAACATTCACATTTATTTCAGGTGGAGGAAGTTTGGTTTATGGAAATGTGRATGTCTGAAACTCACTGAAGATTTTTTTCTCTTTGCAGATTAATTATAAAATGTCTAATGGTTATGAAGATCACATGGCTGAAGATTGCAGGGACGATATTGGTAGGACAAATTTAATTGTGAACTACCTCCCTCAGAACATGACGCAGGATGAGTTACGGAGTCTGTTCAGCAGCATCGGCGAAGTRGAATCTGCAAAACTTATTCGGGACAAAGTTGCAGGTATGATGTAGTATTTCAGAAAGTGTCACCTTGTGCTAGACTGCTCAAGCAGTCAAATACTTGATTGAATGCAACTTAATGTAGAAATATTAAATATTTTTGTGTGTGTGCAATCAAACTATTGACAAGTTTGCTTGGTTCTCCAGTAATGCCAGGAYTGGGTATTGGAAAGATGGAATGCTCAAGGTTAAGTTAGTGACTGTTGTGTGTATGGCTGAGAATTTCAAGAAATACCAGTCCCAAATTTGAACATCAATAGACTGATCTAAAACTGCTTTGGGTTTAGTCCCCAGCTGATTTATTCTCTCTACAGTCTTGAGTGTTTTTGACTCTGCCAGAGCCCTGATATACAAATAAAGCTCTTGTTCTGATTTTGATCAGTAAAGTAAAGGTGTGCCGAGGTTCTGAAGTGGCTRTAAGTCTTATCAGTGTTGCAGAATTTAACTGTAAGTTTGTTAAATAGGATTGGTAGTAGTAGCTTTAAAATATGAGAGGAATGAATTGTTCTGATTTGTGAAACTTAAATGTTTCCTTGAAGCAAGACAAATGCTGACAGAGCAACTGCTTCTATGAGCCATATCTGTTTAGTTGCAGGAGTTTTTAGCTGCACACTGAAGAGGTTTTRATCCTTGCACTGTTAAAATAATTAATTTAAAAGTTTTGGTTATTCTTGTTCAGAATTTGCAGAATCTTGGATTTAGTGAAAGTGCTTGGTTGTTTCTGGAGGGGAAAAARAGTTCATGTGCTGTTAACTAGCTGTGCACTGGTGTTTGTTCCCAGGCTGCAGCTCAGTGCTTGTGGAATTCTCTGCTGCACATGCTCGGTGTTGTATTTCAGAATCCAGCAATACTGATTGTTATCTAATCCGTAACGGAACGGGCCTGAGACTGCTCCCCAGTCTGTAAAAGCTGCATGGGAGCTGATGGAATGCATGAGAGCTCTTTCTGCGTCATCTTTAATGCTTTATTTGCTTGCGAATACCCATGAGAATTGAATAATTTAAAGCTTCAGAATTTCCCTTCTGAGTAGCCTCTCTGATTTCCATRTCTCTGGCTTTCCTCTTATTCTTACAGATGAAGTTTCATATGATGTTTGCCTGTCTAAATCTGTACTTAAGGGATGTATATAAAGGATATTCAGTCATGATAAAATAGTTACCTAAATACCGACTTCTTTCAGTGTTTTGGTTAGTGAGTGTTCAGCCCAGATATTGTCATATGCTTTGAGGCACTTAGATGTTGAGGCTTACTCTGAAAGCTGGTTTTGCAAGGAATAAGACCCCATGCTTAATGATAGCTAGTCATAGCTGACCCACACCTTGGACTGTGAAATAAGCACAGAATCACCTGTATGGGAGGGMGGGATCTTTTCAGTGGGAAGCAAGAGATTCATGAGTGCCTGAAGTTGAGTACTTCACGCTATTTCCTGTAGCATCAAACGCTGTGGTAAAGTCTGGTTAACTTTAACTTGGAACTTGACAGTGCTGGGTAGTGTAAAGTCCAGAACATACACTTGTATGCTCATGGTTSTTCTTAACCTCAAGAATCAAATAAAATTGTTGCTAGTGTTGCAGAGAGTCCTTGAGTGCCTGTCTGGCTTYTCTCTAACTTGGTTGCATGTGCTGGATTCTGTGCAGCTGCTGTGGTCAGGCCATTGAATTTTGTTGCTACCTAATTTTTCATTTGCTTGCAGCACTATTAGGAGCAGTTGCCAATCATCTCCATGCTCACTGATAGTTCTGGAATATCAGTGCCAAAGAATTGGCTCCTTCTAAGCATTTTTTCTTCTTCTTGCTTTTGTTTCTGCCACTTCATGTTCACATTATATGTGTCTATTCTCAAACTCTATTAAACAGATGGATGTGAGGCAGTCCCTGAACAGAACAGTCATGTGGCAGAGTTCTGCTTTTCTTGTGCCTCTACTTGCATTTCTCTGACCCCATGGCAGAGAGCAGGAAACTGGAGCTGCAGAAAAACCTGTTCAGCTCCCTGACCCTGTTTTCTGGTCAGATAAGTCATAATATTGGCATGTGAGATATAGCGGGTTGAGTAGCCTAGGCAGGAGGGAAGGAACTTTTGCTTTTGTTGGAATTAGACTTTTTGGATCAGTTTGGTTCTTTTCAATGAAGCCATAACTTTTGGTGCCCCCATGAAGTTCTAATAATCAGCATATTTTGTCTTTGAAATTCCCTTTAATGTTAGTATTAGCAGAGTTAAAATCAATGTTTAGTTGATAATGCTTGCTTTGTGTAAAACATTGACTGATATGTACATTTCTTCTCAATTTATTGTCTGTTAATGAAACAGAAGAAAAAATACTTCTGCCTGGCATGCAGCTTTTCATAACTTATTGAACTGGCATAAGCTGTCTGGGGACTGATTACTGGGATTCAAGAATTGATTTGAAAGCCAAGGTTTGGATTTCTTAGAGCAAAGTATTTCATTATGATCATTACATATGTTGTTTGGTTTTGCTTCAAATGCAGCATAGTATTGAACAATCTGTTCCATGTGTTAGATTGTGGTTATAAAATGTAGAGAAACTCTCTGAAGCCCCCAGACTGCTCAACCTTTATTTTGCTATTGAGGAGCATTACAGGAAGGTGAAGGTAGCAGCAAACCACAGTGTCAGTTCCCATTACTTACCAGGAGCTTTTGGCTTTGTGTGCACCTGGGTTATAGCTATTGGTTGAGGTGTGTCTGTTTTGTTGTTAGAGATGTGACTACTTCTTTTTATCTTTTCTTTTTTTTCTTCTTTTTTTTGGTATATTTATTTTTGGGGATTTTTTTTG